CTGCTGGCTGGGGAATTCTGGGAATTGAAGTCCACCCATCTTAAAGCTTGCTGGCTGATCATTTCTGGGAATTGAAGTCCACCCATCTTAAAGTAGCCAAGGCTGAGAGGAAGGGGACTAACGGAGGGCCCATGCTCTTTTCTCTAGGGGAGCTGAAAGACGTCATCAAAACTCTGGAGAAACTCAACAGTCACGGGAGATGGAAATGGCTCCTTCACTACCGAGAATCCAAGAAGCTGAAGGAGGATGCCAAGTGAGATCAATCAGAATATTGCTGGAAGGGACCTTGGAGGTCTTCTAGTCTAACCCCACCCACCCACCCCGGCTCAAGCAAGAGACCCTATATACCATATTTCTACCTCCCTAACAACCTTCCCTTTGGTCTCAGTCCTGCTTCCCCACTGGTTCGCACCCAACTGTACCAAATCTATATATTTGTGCATAAGCTCATCTGCAGCATAAGTCAACCTTCAATCCTCAAAAATTCAGTCAACCATCAAAAATGCACCACAAATTGACTTATTTGTGGGCGACATGTTTTTTGTGGTTTGAATACAAATTTACGGTTCTGCTTATATGCCAATGGGCTTATATGAAAATATATGTATATACAGTATGTGTATATGTATGTATGTATGTATGTATGTGTCGCCATCTTCAGGATGGTGCTTTCGGCTTCGTGCTTGTGCGAGCAAAGTGATCGGAGCGGCCGTCTCCCTATATATACTGGTGGGGAGGTTGGCTCCGTTGTCCTTTCTTGATTGGTTGATGGAGTTGATGTTTGCAGATTGGCTGACTTTTTTGTAAGAACGTGTGTGGCTGAGGTATTGGCTGTGAGTCTATCAGCCTCCTGTGTTGTAAGGAGATTACAGCACAAGACCCAGGATGTCAAAACAATAGAACTCAGAAGGTCATCACACAGCCCATTACCCAGGTTGTTACAACACAGGAGGCTGATAGACACACAGCCAATACCTCAGCCAAAAGCCGAAAGCACCAGCCTGAAGATGGCGAGTGGGACCTCGTCGAAACATTGCCAAGATGCTCTCAATCTTACACGGGAAAAGACCCGAACATGTCAAGAGCTGCATACCTGTACCTGTGAAAAACTACGATATATATATCTATATATATCTACATATATATCTATATATATCTACATATCTACATCTATCTATCTATCTATCTATCTATCTATCTATCTATCTATCTATCTATCTATCTATATAGTTTTCTTCAGTTTTTGCGAGTACTTAACATGTATGGTATTCAGCTTTGTTCGGGTATTTTCCCACGTCATTATAGTTGTGCTTTTAAAGTTGTAGCAACGTTTCAGCAGAATCTCATCTGCCATCATCAGGCTTCTGTATTGTGTTCGTCTGTGAGTCAGACTTTCACAGCCGTTTCTGTTTTAAATTTGGGGCTAGCCTACTGCTATGCCAGAATGGTTTTTCTCTTCATCCTGATTGGTTGGGAGTCTTGGTCTGTGTTTATTGGTCTTGGAGTTTGCTGTGTTCTGCTTGATTGGGGTTTCTAATATCTTCTGTCTGTTTTGTAGCGTGTTTTTTTTTTGTCTTGATTAGCTGGCAACATTGTGTTTCCTGTATTGGAGGCTTTTAGCGCAGCTAAAATACAGTGTGTGTGTGTGTGTGTATGTAAATGAATACGGAGAAGCCGATGCCACAACGCACTACAAAAATTGTAAATATGATGTGTTTTTAAAACTGTAAAACTTTAATATTTTTTTTTAAAAAGGACACTTAATGGATGTATCAATGAACAATATGGCTATTGTTTTTCAAGGGTGGGGGGAAATGAGCTGGATTGAGCTCGCTGCAGACGGACTGGGGAATTCTTCTCCCCCTGCCCAGGCCCGAGGGATCACCTCTTGGCCTCCTTTCTTCCCGCAGGGGAGATCTGTCCGCGCACACCAAGGAATCGGTCCTGAAATCCTGCCAGGTGGCCAACATGACGGAAGTCCTGCACTATCACAAGTGCGACTCCTGGTCCTGCACGAGATTCGAGCGCTTCAACTGCCTGTTGAACTTGCAAATTCAACACATCACCAAGAGGTTCGGTGTCTTTCTCACAGGTAATCACCCCCTCGTTTCCGTCCGCCCCACAAAATGGAGAGGGCCCCTAAGGAAGACACTGAAGGTATTTTTCCGAGCGCGCCGATCCTCATTCGGGAACCGTTTGTAGAAAGAGGCGGCCCTTGACTTACGACCGCGGTCGAGCCTAAAATGTCTGTCGCTAAGCAAGACATTGGTGGAGTTTCGCCCCATTTCATGACCTCACCGTGGTTGTTAAGCGAAGGTGGCTCACCCGCTTTGACTTTGCTTTGCCAGAAGGGCCAGGTCCTAAGCTACGTCAATTGTAAGCGGTCACTTCAAACGGTCACTAAGCCAGTTGGCCCCTCCTAAGTCCACTGTAATGTAGAACACTCCCTAAGCCAGTGGTGGCTAACCATTTTGGACTCCTGCGTCAAAAATTGTGTGCGTGCTTGCACACTCGTGCTTATGTGCCCAGCACCTAGAAGGCAATGCGCGCCCCCCCCACGCCCCCTACGCAGGCGTGCACAATCTCCACCCACCCCCCGCCGCCCCCTTACCTGCGCTGTGCCTCACAGCTGATTATCGGCCACTTTGAGGCCTTTTCTGGCCTCCCAAAGGCTTGAGGAAGGCTTCTGCAGGCTTCTGCAAGCTTTGCAGGCCAAAAACTAGCCCCGTTTCATGACTTCCTGTTTTTCCGAAAATACCGGAAGTGACTAAATGGGCTTATTTTTCAGCCTGCAAAGCCTGCAGAGGCTTTTTTCAAGCCTTTAGGAGGCCAAAAAAGGCCTCAAACTGGCCGAAAATCAGCTGTGAGGCACGCACATGCGCAGTGAGGTAAGTTTTCCTGCAGCTCGCATGCCGGCAGAAATGGCTCTGTTCCACCTGTGGCACACGTGCCATAGCTTTGCCATCACGGCCCTGAACGATTGGTCGTAAGTAGAGGAACGACCTTTATCTAGTTTTACAGGTGGTCCTCGACTTATAACCACAATGAAGCCCCAAATTTATCTTGTTACATAAGCGAAACATTTGTGAAGGGAGCTTTGTCCCGTTTTAAGACTTTTCTTGCCCCGGTTGTTAAAAATGAACCACGGAAGCTGTATATTTAGTAACAGGGTTGTACAGTGAATCTGGTTTCCCCCTGGTCAGAAGGTCGCAAAAGGGGATCCCAGGATCCTGGGACATAGCGACCGTTGTAAATGTGAACTGGTTGCCAAGCGTGGGAATTTTGATCACGTGACCAACGGGGAGGCCGCAACAGTCGTAAGCGCGAAAAATTGCCGTAAGTCCCTTTTCTCAGCGCCGTCGTGACTTTTGACCCGTCCCTAAATGAACTGTTGCTAAGTCGAAATACTACCTGTATTTAATAAGTATCGAAATACTACCTGTGTTTGGAGACCGATGCCATCCTGGCTTCTTTTTCTGGGCTTTATCATGTGTCTGGGATCGAGGTTCCCTTCTGTGAAATGGGTGCAGGCCCCGGAAGGATGAATTTTTGGTTCATCCAGGAGAGTAAATCTTTCCTCCCCCCCCCTTTTTTTTCCATCCCGCCAGAAAACACCAACACCAGCAGGGAAGCCTTGGAGGACAAAGGCGTTTTCAGCCTGAACACCACCGAGTTCATCACCACCGCGCAAGACATGGTGGCGCCATTCGGAAGTGGCTTCTGGTAAGGACGACAGCGGCCGAATCGAGAAAGCGGGAATAGAAAAGCGTCGCGGGTGGATTTTGGAAGTCGACACTGGATCGAAGTGCTTTCTTTTTCTTTTTTTTTCCCCCCTTTAAAAAAAAAAATCTAAATCTATCTATATAAAAGCGAAATACCACTCACGCATCATCGCAAAATCTCCAGAACTGTAAAGCCTACAAACTTGAAATTTGGCACGTGTGTTCCTCCTATATCGTTATTATTATTATTAACATGCTCTGATGCTAAGGAGTTCTACTCCCTTCCCTACCTGGAAAGAAATCTGTTCCAAATGCAAAACACAAGCAGAGGAGTTTCAGTTTCAGTTTCAGAGCACCAAGCAGATTTAATACAGAACAGTTGAGCTAAGCCACGCCCAGGCTCCTTGCTGTCTCCTCCTTGCTCACACAGCAAATACTGTTTCAGTTTCCAAACAGCCCTCAACTCTCTCACACACCAACAGGACACTAGCCAGATGAATACCGATGGATGCTGGTAGGCAGAGTCAGAAATTTTCCTCCCTTATTTTCCTCCCCCAAAACTAAGCCCCGCCACATAGTTTCATAGCGAAGCAGAGGTATCAAGCTAGTTTGTTATATTTTAGCAAGGGGAATAAAATACAAAATAGAAAAAAAGAAACACCCAGAAATAACATCCATCCAACAGTAACAATAACAAAAATGGTGTAGAGAGAACAAGAAAAAAAAAAGATCCAATTGTCCGATGTTAAACATAAAAAATACATAATCCACTGGTTGGATGCTGGGGAAAAAATTAAAACAAAAAACCCTGATAAAGTCTCTTCCCCCTCGGCCAATATTTATCAACTTTCTCTGGGATAGAAAGCACTTTGGTTTCAAACCTTTTGTTTGATATTTATTATTTAATTATAATTATTTAGAGTGATGCAGTGGCCTAGAGGTGGAGCTCTCCCCTCACAATCCGGAGGCTGTTAGTTTGATCCTGGGTAGAGGCAGATCTTTCTCTGGGTGCAATGAGAATATATTTGCCGAATAAAACTCTGCACTGGAAACAGGAAGGGCATCCGGCCAGTAAACACTTCGCTAGCTCCATTCAGTTGCCACCTCACAAGGGTCATTAAAAGATTATTTGATTGTAATTATTTAATATTTCACTTAACCACCCATCTCATTATGGAACACCTTTTCAAAGGCCCTTGGCAACTGACTCATATTTATGATGGTTGCGGTAACCCTGGGTTGTGTGTTGATTCCCTTTTGCAACCTTCCGACAAACCAAGTTAATGGGGAGGGAGCCACTTTGTCAGAAATGGTGCAGGCCCGTGATGGCGAACTTCTGGCACGCAGGCCACAGGCGGCACGCAGAGCCATTTGTGCCGGCACGCGAGCTACAGGCAAATTTACCTCACTGTGCATGCGCGTGCCTCACAGCTGGTTTGAGGCCTTTTTCGGCCTCCCCAAAGGCTTGAGGAAGGCTTCTGCAGGCTTCGCAGGCCGAAAAATAGGCCCGCTTAGTCACTTCCGGTATTTTCGGAAAAACAGGAAGTGACGAAACGGGGCTAGTTTTCGGCCTACAAAGCCTGCAGAAGCCTTCCTCAAGCCTTTGGGAGGCTGAAAAAGGCCTCAGACTGGCTGAAAATCAGCTGTGAGGCACAGTGCAGGTAAGGGGGTGGGGTGGGTGGCTGGGTGGGGATTGTGCGCGCATGCGTAGGGGGAACCTGGGGGGAGTTCACATTGCTTTGTGGGTGCTGCCACATGAGCATGCAAGCGCGTGCACAATTTTTGGCACAGGAGCTCAAGGTTAGCCGCCACTGGTGTAGGCAGTGTCTCCTGCTTGGGCGGGGCGGGAGGGTTGGACTAGATGACCTACAAGGTCCCTTCCAACTCTTAAACCGTGTGACCCAAATTTAACAAACTCCTGTGATTCGCTCAACATCCGTGAAAAGACCCATTGCAAAATGGAGCAAAACTGTTGCTCCTAATAAATCTTTTGAATTCTTTTGAAGCTTTGGGCCAAGGCTCATGATTTAATTAGGGCAGTCACCGGAACCCTGACAGTCACTTAGCAAACGTCTTTCTCAGCAACGTGCGGCCTCCGTTGTTGGTTGTAAGTCAAGGACGAACCGGATAACAGTGGACGATGTTTGTTTCAGGTAACCAGGATCAACCGCCTTCTGCCTTCTTGCAACCCGACGGGGATCGCAACGCCAAACCCGACTTTTGTCTGTCCATTCTGGACATTCCCGGAAGACACCAGACTCTTGTGCCACTCACTCTTATTAAGCCGCCGCGACGCTCGCTCGAGGTCAAGCAGACTGGCCTCCCTCCCTCCCTCGGCTGGTTTGATTTTGGGGCCTTGGCAAGGGGGCTTGGGAAAGGGCCGCTAGTTTTATTTAAACACAACATGGAACCTCAAAGAGGAAAATGCGTTTTTGGATATTCTCGACTTTCTGGATAGGAAAAAAAAAAAAGGAAAGCATAGGAATCCGTGGCTTTCTGGATAGGAAAAAAAAAAAAAGCAAAGCATAGGAATCCGTGGCTCTCGATTGCGCAGCTCAGTATCACATAGGAAAATAAAAAAAAAAACCAACCACTGCTTACTTGAAGGGTTACAAATCAGTTGACCTCAACCCAACACTTCAGACACGAGACCGTAGTTGGGCGCACTCCAAAAATTGGCGGGGGGGGGGGGAATGTTGAGTGTTGTACAAGCAGTTAGGCAGGGGTGTCCAATTCCCCAGCCGGTGGACCTCAACTCCCAGAATTCTCCATCCCTTGGACTTCAACTCCCAGAATCCCGCATCCATTGGCCCTCAACTCCCAGAATTCCCCATCCATTAGATTTCCCAGAATCCCCTATCCATTTTGCCCTCAACTCCCAGAATCCCCTGTGCACTGGACTTCAACTGCCCGAACTCTGGGAGTTGAGATCCACCTCTTAAAAGTTGCCCTGCTTGGACACCCCTAGCGCATTGACTTTTAACACAACTCCCTTTGCAATTGTGCTCATCAAGGGCGCACGACCACCGTGCTACATGCGTCTCGTGGGCTTTTTAGGATCCGGGGTTGTTTTGCAGACCCAACAAACATCGGACATAACCGCACAATGGCCATTACCTTTACAAGGGGTGTTTTATGGGTGGGCGGGTGGGTGGTGGGAACTGGGGGTGACAGTATAATCCGGGTTTGGTGGCGCTTGTTTTTTTTGGTGGGGGGGGGGGGGGGGGGGGGGGGTTGTTTGGATTCTGGCGTTAGGTCTTTCTTGAGAGCCGTGTTCATGGTATTGCAATAAAGAGGTTTTTTTTGTCGTTCAGTTGGAGCACTAATAAAAATGGGGTCTTGTAAGATATTTTCGCCCGTCTTTGGGGGGGAAAATGAATTCTTTTGTAACTAATCTTTATAAATAAACTTGACTTGAAAAGGCATAGTGGAATTATTTGGGTGTGTGTGTGTGTGTGTGTGTAAAAGCACAATTCCCATAAAATAAAGTGAAAGACCCCCTCATGCATCATCACAAAATCTCCAGAACCGTAAAGCCTACAAACTTGAAATTGGGCACGTATTTTCCTCTTGGCTTCTTGGGGCTCACTAAGAAAGGATTTTTCCAAATGGCCATCAGAGCATTTAGAGTATTTCCTATATTATTAACACGCTCTGACGCTAAGGAGTTCCACTCCCCCCTCCACACCTGCAATCTCTTCCAAATGCAAAACACAAGCAGAGGAGTTTCCGTTTCAGAGCAGCAACCAGGTTTTAGTACAGAACAGTTGAGCTCCTTGCTCACCACAAATTCTGTTTCAGTTTCCAAACAGCCCTCAACTCTCTCACACAGACAGGACACTAGCCAGATGAATACCAATGGATGCTGGTAGGCAGAGGCAGTTCTCTCCCTCCCCCCTTATTTTCCTCCCCCAAAGCTAAGCCCCACCACATACCGTAGTTTCATAGCGAAGCATGGGTTTATATGTTAATGGTGCGAGTTTGGCGGTTGGGGGAAAATACCTGTATTTATTTTATTTTTATCCCAGCTTTAGGTAACTCAAGGCGGGGAAGATAAATCGTAATTCCTTTCCTTCCTTCCTGTTTTCCTCACAACGACCCGGTGAGGTGGG